TTTCATTTTCACTGTTACAGTAAAATATTTCAAAAACACCCCAAAAAACAACTAATCCAAATGGAGCGAAACTCTTTAGCAAAATCAGTCTTATTGCCATTTGGAGTTTGCCCAGCTGGTAAAACTCCTTCAATTATTCTTTCTGGTATTTAAAGATTATCTTATTGACAAAATTTTTTTTGTTAATTATCAGAGTCGAATTCGTGTTGAGATCCAGATACCAATTCATTCTAAGATTTCAGCTAATATCACCATCTTAAAATGCAAAATATCCTTATATAACCACCACGTTCCTTACCTTTTCTTTCCCCGCACTGCTGTTTTTTGGCTTCATTGGCACCCAGAATGAGTTAATGAATATTAAACTCTCTTATATTATACTTTATAATTTCTTTCCATCAAGACTTCAAATCTTCAACATTCGACAGAGTATTACTTAAAATAACTATTCTTTAAGTGAAACAACAATCATTTCCTCCTTTCTACATTCTTTACCCTTTTCTTTGGGTACTACCATTTCTTGAATTTTGCACTCCATCACTATGTAATAGAAAATAAACATCCATGATTCTGCATAAAGGAGGTAGAGTGGACCAGCCACGCACACATAAAGAAATGGACGGCAGAACTAAAGATGCCTTGCTCTCTTGGCACTGCACTTTCGGCGTTCTCACACATTTGGATCAAATAAATTATAAATTATAAGAGGATTGAGGAGCAGTGCATTGGTATAGGTTTATTAATGGAGATTTTAGTTTCATTAAGAAGTCTATTTCAGTATTCCTAATTTGTTCAGATGATGTCTCATATTTTGAGCAAACACTTTTGTTTTAAATATGCAGGTATGAGCCCTTTTCTCTCTCTCTTTTTTTCCCCTTGTTTTTTTGAAGCAAAGGTCTTAGTTCGTAGTTTTTATACGTTTAAATGTTCAAGCCTAAAAAGATGGTTAGAGTAGTGGAATGGCATTATACCACCATTAAGATATATATGGTTTTGATGTTTCTCTAAATAAAGCACCCCTTCACTGCCTTTATCTTTTCTTGGCTTCAACATCAATCATGATACACTCAAAGAAGATGTGTTACCTAATAACGGATAAGGGTCTCCAACGGTTTGTCACAAAACCGTTTGGATCGATTTTGTGCAAAATGCACAAGATATAATTTTGTATATATACGGTGTAACTCACTTTCAATAACGTGTTACTATAAAACAAAATTTTAAGAACTCCATAAATAGTGTGAAAAACGATATACAAGATGCAATTTAGACTTCACATTTTTTTTAGCCAAATTTTGGCCGTGAACCTTCAGGAGCAGTTGCTTCCTGCAATCGTTGCCGTCCCTTCTCCCCCAATAACCATGGTAATTGTAAGTAGTTCTACAACTAAGTTACTCTTATTTCTTCCACATTTGTAGTCCCAAGTTTGGTCGAAAATTTCACCTGTGATCCTGGTGATACATGGGGCAGGATTAACAACATTCATCACAGGTTATATAAAACCGAGCTATTTGTTTTTCCTTATCATATTGGTTACCTTCCTTAGTTGTTTGCGCTTGCAGACAGACATATCTTACGTGACTTGTGCAGTTTTCCTCTGGTACTCCACTACTATTGGTGCCGTCTACTGCCAAGTTGATCAATTGGCTAGCTAGGGCAGCTTTTCCAAGTGAAGAACCTCTTTGTTACCTGGATAATTATCTCCTCAAAAGTTGACATATTTTCAGAAGCATCTTATGGGAGCACCAAAATTCGTTCTATCTAAAATAGTGGAATTTTTTTTTTTTGGCCTCCTCCCACCCCTCTTATCACCCTTTTCATCCCCAGCTGTCAGCTCAAGATTCGAATTTTGAATCTCGCAATGAAAAGATTTTAAGAGCCATCGTCTGATCATTGAATAGTAGATCTAAGTGTCATTCAAACCTCAACATTTGTACTAACTTTTTATCCAATTATCCGTATTAACTCCCCCCACCCCCCTCCCTCCCCCCAAAAAAAGAAAAATGTCTACGACCGTATTATCAGTCATCAAATTCTAGCATCTGTTGACATGACGAACAAGAAAGGAGGACGGACTTAGTTTTGTTTCAGAATCCTTAAAGAACGTTAATTAATCTAAGTGGTCTCTCTAATTGGAGACATTCTTTCCAATTTTTTTTAAAAAAGTGCTGGGGCCACTGTTTGGATCGTTCTGGCTAACTGCTCTTTCTAAATGCCCTTTTGAGGGATGCATCAGATGGAGATTGGAGAATGGAGACTCTAAAAGAGAAGAAGCGTCGAGAGAAATCCAGATTAAATCTCTCAAGGGCCCAGGAATATTAGTACTTCAGTACAACGAAATCATGAATTGAAGTATATAGTGTATTCGAGAATGGAGTAATAATTAAATTAATGCCAAAAAATTTAGTTCGTTAAACCCAATTCAATTAATAAAGATTGCTTAATAGTGTATCCAAGCTATGATTGCTTAATGATATGGAACAATCATTCCAAAATATCTAAGTATGGGCGAGGAGAATCTCTCTACCACAATCTTTTCCTTGATTCTTTTTCATCTTTCATCAAGAATTACATAATTGAAGTTCTGATGTTGAATAAAAGAGAAAGAGCCGAATTTGCATGTTGCATTTACTAATAGATGCAGCCATCATGTTGACTTAATCAAAAGTTATTAGTAGGCAACGAGACTAGAGGGACCTGTTTTTCTTGTTTTGTTACAATAATTCAACACTTAAATTAATGCATCTACTGCATCAGACTCGGAGCTATACACTATTTTTCTTCAGTGAGCTGTTGTATACTAGTACCTAGAACATACACGTGCACAAGTCTTGCCAAGTGAGCATATTTTTGTTTGGCAGACTTTCCTTTTGTCTACAATGGTTTCCCCAATGGCTAAGTCTTGTGTGGAACTTGACCTAGGTAGCACTAGATCGTGACAACATGCAGCAAGCTAGATTTAAAGTGTTGGGTCCAGCATAAAAGATAGCAAGGTTTAGTCATCATCTAAAGAGGGGATGATCTAGAGCCAAAGAGAAGTAAGTGGAGCCCCATTTCACCAACTAACCAAATTGACTAGAAAAAGTTAGATTAAAGTAGTTAATCAATGTAGGGTTTTAGTTTTTCTTTGTGCTTTCAGCTTCACATCAATCAGAGAGACGTCAGATGCTTTTGTAGTGGTTTAACCGACAATTAGATTTGTTTCTAGTTTCAATTGACCTAAGCTTGATAGTCTCTTTCTCCATTTCATTCACATCGTCTAAAACAAATGTAACCATGAACCTAAAGCACATTTTTTGTTGCTCAAGGGTTTCACTACAATTGCTGTTTTTCTTTCTCGAGTAAAACTAAGGAGATGAATAATTACCGACTTCCTGTCACATCTTTCGCAAGATAATATCAATCAGAAAAGTCAAGACTATTGTTTTCTTAACCACAATTATTTACCAATAGATTCCTACTCTATATATATCTATCCAAGATGGTTGGTTAAAGATTTTTTCTACAAGGGGTTAGATTATTGGGAAAATCGTCCAAAACGTCCCTCATATTTTATAAAATGACTTTTTTCGTCCCTCATTTTTAAAAGTGTGATTTTATGTCCCTTACATATTCACATCGGTCAAATTTAGTCCCTAACTAGGTTTCCGATCATTTTTTGGCCGGAATCTATCACGTGCAAGGCACGTGATCATTTTTGAAGGGTAAATTTGTCAAATTATATTTTACATAATCTAATCTATAGTCCTCCACATTTTACAAAACAAATTTTTTCGTCCTTCACATTTTATAAAATGATTTTTTCATTCCTCACATTTCATAAAATGAATTTCTCCATCCCTCACATTTCAAAAAATGAATATTTCCATCCCTAACTAATTATGTATGTGAGGGAAACCCTAAAAAAAAATGTGTGTGAATATATTTTGTTTAAACACATGTATATGTCTATTTGATTTTGTTTAATAACACGAATAGCATAAATATATATATGTGTCTATTTGATTTCACTTAACAATACGAATACCATATATTATACGTGATCATTTGATTTAATCTGGTATTAGCTAGTAAATAATCTTGCATTCATTGTCAAGTTGGCCAACAAAACTATTTTCGGTCAAAATACAATAAAAATATGCAAATTAAGGTTCTATTGGTAAATATTAATCATAATCATACAAAAAGAGAAGATAACCCACAAGTTGGGCCCAATTACATACATGTGTTTATGCTATTATTATTAAGCAAAATCAAATAGACATATACATGTGTTTAAAAAAATGTATTCACACACATAATTAGTGAGAAATGAAAATTTCATTTTTTGAAATGTGAGGGATGGAGAAATTCATTTTGTGAAATGTGAGGGACGAAAAAATTTATTTTATAAAATGTGGAGGACTATAGATCAGATTATGTAAAATATAATTTGACAAATTTATCTTTCAAAAATAATTACCTGCCTTGTACACGATGGATTCCGGCAAAAAAATAATCGGAAACCTAGTTAAGAACTAAATTTGTCCGATATGAATATGTAAGGGATATAAAATTACACTTTTAAAAGTGAGGGACGAAAAAAGTTATTTTACAAAATGTGAGGGATGTTTTGAACGATTTTCCCTAAATTATTTGTAAAGACGTATTTTTCTGCCATTTCATATTAAAACTACTATGTGATGGTCACCCACCTCTAAGTGAGTAATTGCCCACACCAATCTTTCTTGGTCTTGGCTTACGCGTAAGCAACTAAATTATAGACACTGGGGCCATCTATCACTCAAGATCTGGTCCTGGCCGGTGACAGATGCCAGCTCCTCAGCAGTTAAAACTTTTTCCAACTGTGCGAATCTAAAGTCCAAATCATACAATCTCACCGGCCATTTCCGCTGTACATCATGTTGGCAAACTAAAGCGAAGGATCCTATATTGCATCCAAAGTAAAACCAACCCAAAGCTTATTTTTCCATTATTTTTTCCGGCTTCTCAAGTGGGCTTCTTGGATTATGCAATTAAAGAAAATTGAATTGTTGGCATAGCTAAGCAACTCCTCAGTTTTGACAAAAAAAAAAAAAAAAAAAAGAAACAACTCCTGAGTTGCTATATAAACAGTGTTCAAAGCTCGACAGATCTTCACTCTTCACATCCCAACTGTCACACACACTTCACCTAGCTCAGTCAGCAAATAATCTCCAAACCCTTTTATCCTTAAGCTTTGCTAAGACTAAATTGGCTGGAAAAATGGCTGATAACTATTCTTCTTCATCTTATTCTCAGCCCACTTTGCCACTACACCTTTGTTTCTTCCTTCTGATATTGTTCACCTTTGTTAGTGTCACATGGTACATCAACTATGAGAATATCTTCGAACCCTTGTTTGATCAGGTTAAGTTGATCCTCGTGGTTTCTCCTTTACTACTTCTTCTAGCGATGCACCTACTTTCTTCGTTTGACTGGTCTTGGATTTATTTACCAATTCCTGATCAAGACTCACTTCACAGGGCTGGTGGAACTCCATGGGGTGTTGGTCTGCTTCTTGTGATTCTTCTCTTCATGGTTTCTTACCAATCTGGCTTGAGAGAGCGGTGGTTCCCTCTTCTAAGCAGATGATGAAGATGGCTTCTCCTGGATTGTGGTGATCATGATTTTAAGTGGGAATATCTGCAACATGGAGAAAACTGGTGAAAAATCTTGTGGTGTTTAGTCACAACTATGTATATTTTGAGTTTTAGGCAAGGGTGATAATTGAGAATTGAGTTTGTCAATCTCTTTCTCTCTTTGGCTGAGTTTCTATGTACTTCTTTTGACCTCTAGTATATAGCAGTAATAGGGGAATGGTTAATGAATGGCCACTTCTTTTGTGTTCTGTAATTAATCAACTTCAGTGGCGAAAACAATGAAGAATTTTGCTCCTATAGTTAGGCCAAGGGGGCTGGGCATTGTGTAATTATATTGACTGTGCCTTTTGTTTTGTATCTCCTGTGGCATGCTTTTCCACTTCTTGTTGTATACGTTTTCTGATTCAATATTCCAGGGCCTCTTAATTTGTAGCCAGAGAATTTGTGAACTGAAACGACAACCTTCATAAGAGGAAAGTCAAAGAAGGGCAACAAGATTCTTTCATCTTTGACCTACCTTATAATAGGAAAAAAAAATTTTAAAAAAAATTTGTGGGGTATTTTGGCATTTTTTAAAGAAATAAAATGGGAAATGACAAAGATGTCCACAAGTCACAACAGCTAGATTACTACAATAGAGTCGAGTGGTTAAAGGCTTTTCCTCTTGGAATGGAAGTTAATGTCTAATTATTTACACATCCACACATGCACTTCACCTATGTCGGTCACAACAAATCTTCTATGTCGCTTAACAACGAAAAAAGAAAAAATATATATACATATATATATATGATAAAAAGCAAACTACAACAAATCAAAAAACAATATATGAAAAAAAAGTAAAATAATAAAAGAAATTTCTACTACAAGAACATTACAGAAAGTGAGACAAAAGTTATGAAATTGGAGTTGGAGTTCGGCAAATCTCTTAAACTTCTACTAAAGGAGGGAGAGCTATAGCTTCTATCTCTCCTTTTTATTTTCTTCAATGATTGAAAATAGATCTCTTGGTGGGAGATCCTTTACGAGGGGTCCTGATTGATAAACGTAACAATTCGTTTCATCAAAACCCTGGCACGCTCAGAAGTGGGGTTAGGCAGATGAAAGCAATGTCCCTCCTCTTCAGTCTCCATCATTTCCAATTCTCCATCCCATCTACTTTTCTTCAATGCGCTGTAGTAAAGCAAACTTCTCTCTCTTATGAAATCCTTCTCCGCTGTTAAAACCAGGACCCTTTTGCAAACAAGCCTCGACAACAGATCAGGATGCGCCATAGGATGCAACCGGGGATCATCACAGCTGATGCTGCTATCTGGGGCTATGCTGGAGAAAATCTTATCAGGCTTACCATCACCAAAAAAGGGATGCACCAAAATCATCCCCGCGATCTTTACTTCATCCCCTGGTCCAATTTTTTCACTGGCCCTGACCATTACATCATGTGCAATATTAGCTCCAGCACTGTCACCTGCCAAAAAGATTCTAGCAAAATCGGCATGGTTATTGATCCACGCTTCAGGACCCTGTGCAGAACTAGCATGTGCAAGAACCCATTCGAATGCTATCCAAGAATCATCATAGCATGCGGGGATAGGATGCTCCGGGGCTAGTCTGTACTCGATGGAAACAGCAATCGCCTTGGCTTCAGCTGCTAGGGAGTTAAGGTAGGGATGGTATAGAGGAGAAAATGCTGATTCAATCACAAAAGCACCTCCGTGGATGTAGATTATGATGGGAAGCTTTTCATCAGGAGTGGTGGTTCTGGGAAGGTAAAGGCGGACTGAAACGTTATTCTCTGGTGGAATAAGGATATCTTTGGATTTGACGCCTGTTTGGGGATCCTCTGAAGGCGGGGTGTAGGGGAACTCTGCAAATTTCTCGATCCGGCCATCCTTGTATACACGAAAGTAGGGATAGGAGTCGTGAAGCACCTCGGTTGATGGGGATGAGTCCATTGTTGGAATTGATGGAAGGAGAAACGGAGACGGAGGCAAGTATTTGGACTTGTGATTTACGCTTATAGGATGTTATCTAACTACTAGATAAGGACACCGGTGGTTTCCAAGACCATTTCCGTCGTTCTCGTTCCCCGTGCACACCACGTGACTCAATTTATTTTTTAACCACCGTTTGATTGGGAGGTTTTGTACCCCCCTCCCCCCAACAATGGGAATAAGCAATGTTTTAAAAATCGGATCGTTAATTGAACCGGTAAAGTGAAAGGGTCGAGATTTAACCGGTCGGATCGATTCAATCTCGATTTAATAAATTTTTTAAAAAATAATTTATATAAATATATATATGCATAAAATAAGACATGTAATGGACTAATTTAATATTTTATATGATGAAAGTTTACTATTTTTTAATAACTTGGATTTTTAAAAATAATTTTTTAAATTATAAGTTAAAACAAATAAATTTCATCTCAATTTCAATTATATCTAAATCCAACCCAAAAATATCACAAAATTTTGAAATTATTCAAAATTCACGTCTATGAGAATTTAGACATTGTGAACTTAAATTTTAATTTACGTTTTGGGATTTAGAGATTGCAATTTAAAAAAGGAAGTTTGGAATTCAAACGAAGTCAAGAGAATCGAAAATAGAAATGTAAACTTGATAAGAAACAAAAAAAATGAAATAAAAGTGAGTGGTTGTGGCATTAAATAATTTGGGTTAAAGAAAAATAATTCTTTTTTAACTTTTTTCAATTTAATGGACAAAAATAAAATTAAAAGATGAAAGAAAACATCAATAAATTAAAATAAAGAGATTTGATTAAAAAGGGAGTGATAAAAGAAAAGAGGATAGAGAGAGAGAGTTGAAGATTAAAAAGAAATAGTCATGAGAAAATGAGATTTTGTAAGAAAAATGGAAAAAAGAAATATGAATGTTTGTTTTATATAAATAAGTTATCAAAAAAAACTAAAAAGATGTGATGGTGCAGCAATTAATACATTGGTCTTCTATTACAAAGGTCTTGAGATCGAATCTTGATAGTTGCATTTTGCAAAACTTAAAAAAAAAAAAGGGGGAAAGTTAAAAACCGGAAAATCGCCGATTCAATCTGGCTCGACGGTTTTCACGGTTCAACCGGATTTTGACCGATTTTCTGCCAAAGTCAACAATCGCATAAAATCGGACCGGTGTCATGGCCGGTTCGCGATTCAACCGATCAAACCGGCCAATCCGGTCCAAATTTCAAAACATTGGAAATAAGAGGGTAATGAACTCCCATTGATAGTGTTTGGTAGACCACTGTGAGGAGCGCTTGGTTCTTGCTTTCGAATTAGAAAGGGAAATGGAATAATGGATAGAGGGCTCCCTAACGAGAGTTTTGGTCAATTTCTTTCAATTTGATCGGGAATCATGAATGGCCAAATTTTGAGGCATGATTCTAATATTTTAATTTTTTTTGCATTGGACTAAGCGCGCAGTATTGGAATTATTGTAATTTCAAGTACCAAAACTTCTAAATTAAGTGGTTTTCCAATACCAAAAAACCCATTGCCCACCGATTTGTGCATCCGATCCTTAAGGAGTTTCCTTACTGGGTCTCACTTTAAAAATTTAACATTTGTAACAACATTGACATCCGCAAACAAATCTTTTTTTTCATTATAAGAGTAGTGACTTTTTAGAATTCCTAGTCAAGTAAATCACAGTTATTTGAGAGTGATTTTTTAGAATTCTAAGTCAATTACAAATTTTCAAATTAAAAAAAGGGTGTAAAAAGTGACAGAAAAAATTGGATGCTGAGAGGATTAAGAATAATTTTGATTATGAGTTTATAGATTTTTATTTGATGTGATTTCTCGTTATTGATGCACTGACTGGTTTTGCAATATTCAAGAGGAGCGAATAGCCAAATAGATTTCAATGTAGGATTGGATTAATGAAATCATATGAGTTGTTACATATATCAAAATTTTAGAATGAGGGCCGGTAAAAGAGCACCTTAATTAAGGGGGCTGAGGATCGATGCACAAATTTGGGCACTTTCGCTTCTCATTACCCGCATTCTAGAAGAAGGTCCAAAATAAAGCAAAATTGAAACGGGTAAAAAAATACGAGAGAGAAAAAGAACGCATATCTTTCTTTCTCCTCCCTCCTATGTATCGCTGCATTTTCTTCCCCACTCCTCCGCTCTTGCCCCTCTACTTCATCCCTCACTTCTCCCACCCTCCATACTGCCACTGCTCCATCTCCCACTTGCTCTTCTACTTCACCTTTTGCAGCTTCCCTTCCATCCCTCTCACAACACTAATTAAGTTTTTTTTAATATAGTTTTGCATAACAAATTTGTAATTGGAATCAATGAGTTGGTTACCTACGAATCATGCTGCAATTGATCAACGATATACGTACAAGCAGGTAGCGGTGGTGAAGGCTATGGGAGGTGATGGTAGTAATGATAAAGAGTTTAAGAGAAAGAAAAAAAAAAGGAAAAAAGTGAAAAAGAAAAAGTGGCAGAGGGAGATGGATTTGCAGTGGCCAAATTCATGTGTTCTTCCTCATCTTGAGCCTTGCCATCCTCAGTTTCTACTGCAACTTACCTATCGCAGTGGTGATGCAGTGGATATGAGTAACAAGATCCATCCCAGCTGCGCCATTAGCTGATCATATTGGTTGCCTTGGTTGAACCTTTGGACACTTCCTGTATTAGCAATTTATATGAACTTTTGCAATTCTCCTTTATATCTATAGCAATTTATGCCGTGTACCAAGGTGGCCAATGGGCAATGGGGCGGGTTCACATTGGCTTTAATCGGGGAAAACGGATAGACCGGGGAGGAAGCAATGGTACCACTACCCATGGACACTGGTCACCCTTGTGGTACATCGTACTTCACACCTATATATAATAAGCTGTTAATCATGTATTGCAGGTATACAAAACAGTTCCAACTTGGATTAACTGACTAGATTTTGTGCTCTTCGAGTAATCATTTGCAGGACGTCCTGCACATTCAACTACATCATATAACATAAGATCTACCTTAGAGAAAACATATATATGACATACAAAAAGAAACCACTGGGCCAATGGCGCAGTGGCCAAGTCCCTCTTTAGGCTGTAGGTGAACCTCACCTGCAGATTCTTCATCTGCAGCGAAAAAAATCTAAGAGTTGTGCCATAACACTTTATTGGTTTAGTTGGGTCTGTATACCCACTAGCCCCTATCACAGCCTCTTTAAGCTCCCCCTCCCCTCTAGATTAGGATAAAATAGATTATACAATTGTGTCGTTGCTGAAAAAAAAAAACATACAAAAAGAATATAGTCAAGACTTATTATTAGGTGAGCATAAGTCATATTTTGTTGTGATTCATAAACATCACAGGTACATTCTCTTGTTCAAGATTAAACAGTAAGTGATGTTGAATGTTGATTAGGATTATTA